GTCTTCTGTTCTCGGTTGTGTTGTAGATAGAAGGGCTGGGATGAATTCATTACAGCAATTTTAACTCGCTGCTTGTATATTTAGTGTGTGTGATTGAGAAAGAAAGAAAAAAAATATTCGCAAAAAGTTTAATGAGAGGGAGTGCGGCTGTAAGATGGCAGTGTGGAGCTGTTGTGTTTGCAGTAGCGAAACCAAAATGTGATATGATCAGTCTGAAAGAAGTGCCAGAGGGGTCTCTCGAGGCATCTGGCTGTGTGAGATAGAGAAAATGCCATCAACGCACGATGACATGTGAAAGTCATGTATGGATGAGGAAATAGAGGGCAGTCACCCCCAGAACAAAAAGCTCAGTTGCATTAACACCTTTTTCTCACACTGGGGAGTAAATCAGATTTTGAATCACTTGCAGCTCAACACTGTTTATTTTCACTTTTCATAATAGTAGGCGTAAACAAAAATAGTCTGCTGTGTTATGGCCATTTCTCCAACATTTCATGGTATTTTGGAAATTTTTCTAGATATGTAGGGGGCTCATACGGTATTTAAGGGACCAAACAACACTTTTAGAAACAGAGTAGTTCCAATCTGCCTCCACATCCTGACTCTTTTCTTTGTTTTTGCAGTCATTGCTGACTCGTTGACGGTGACGGCTCCAGCCCAGACTCTCTCCAAGGTGGAAGGCGACACACTACAACTCACCTGTGAAGTGTCTCGGACCACACAGCAGCACACTCACTTATCCGTGGGTTGGTACCTGCGGTCCCCAGAGGATGCAGCCGCAGCACCTCAGGAGCTGGTCACCTTGTCAAGGGACTTTGTTCTGCGTTCCGGGGGACCGTACCGGCAGAGGATGGGGGCAGGAGACCTCAGGCTGGATAAAACCAGCGCTACAGCCTACAGGCTGACCATTCACAAGCTGCAGCCAGTGGACCAAGGCCTGCTTTACTGCCAGGCTGCTGAGTGGATTCAGGACACAGACGGCAGCTGGTTTGCCATGACCCGCAAGCAGAGTGACAAGACTCAGCTCCGCATTCAGCCCACTGGTGAGTAGAGGGAAGAGATTCTGTGGAAAAAGAGGAGGGAGGGGGGGAGAGAGGGTAAAGATGCTGCTCTACACTTAGGTCCCCGCTGTCCTTCTGACAGACGCACACGCACGCATGTGGGCCGGCTTCCTCTGATTGCTGATCAGTATCTCGCACTAAGCTCATTAGCTAACTAAAAAGGGCTTAACTAAACCTCCGCAGACTCCCCACTTTTGTATTTGTGTCTGTTTGATGGGCAACATTACAAGCACATCCAAGAATAATTTAACTAGCTCCAGGCAGCATGGGTGTTTGACGGGGGGAGACCTAGGGCTTCCACATATACAATTTCCCAGGCAACGAGTGGCCTAGAGATCAGAAGCCAAAAATGTTTTTTTTCAACCACTCCTCGCCAGCAATTACACCAGTCTAGTTTGTGCTTGAGTGCATTAGTGGGAGAAACCGTGCTGGTTTAGTGCGGTTGCCAACTCTGAAGGAGGAGATTGTCTAATGGAAGGGAGGAAGGGATTTACCAACCAAGAGACAGAGAGGGGGGCGGTGGGGAGACATGAGGATGAGTAAGTAACAAGGGGTGCACAGTGAAAGAATGTGGGAGAAATAAGGGGTGTGTTGAGGTGGCTGACAGCAGAGAGGCCCTCATATGATCATGATCTAATAAGCTGTCAGACTCATGACTTGATGGGCTCGGAACAAAGACAGCTTTACAACTCCACACATGTACTTTTGATCTCCCACCCGACTTGACCCCATGGCACCCACTGCTCTGTATTCCTCATGCATAAAGCACCTCTTTGTATGCTTCCAAGAAAGGGCCACAAAGATGGGTGATAAACAGCTTTGACATTAGCTCAATTACCAAGGCAGCACGCAGTGGTGAGTGTGTCATGCCAGTAAATCACTTCAAAGTGGAATCGTTTTGCCTTTCTCCATTAAGTGCCAGAACCGCTCTGGACCAATACAACTTGATGGTGCCCCAGATAGTGCTGGGTGGATGAGAAGGAGAGTGGAAACTCAGATGTAAAGCAGGTTTGTCAGATGAGTTCCTGCTACTTCAGGGAGGAGACAAAAGGCACAAAGAGCTCCCCTCTCAGCACCCTTCGTCACTCTCTGTCTTCTCTGTAATCTATAATAGATGGAGGTGTTGTTACGTGACAAAGAGAATACGGCAGAGTGGTGCGACTCAGGGTGTGCAGCTCGGGGTGTGAGTGCTCCAGCTTGTGTGTTGATTCATTTGGATTTCCTTCTGTGTACTCACTTATTGCAAGATGCGGGAAGAACTTGCATACCTTTAGGCGGAACTGGTGTATTTGATATTGCACCTGTCCATGTCCATATTTGACAGACGGAGAGCGAGGGAGAAATTTAGAAAGGAGAGGGAGCAGCTCCTCCATTAGGCTCCTATTATAAAAGATGGAGTGGATCTCAAGACAGCCCCATCACTAGCTAATCACCCACAGCCAGCAGTAGAGAGAGCAGCAACGGACAGAATCCTAATGTACCTTTTGCTCTCGGTTTTTACCATCTTTCTCTCTTTTCTCACCTCCTCCCTTGTCCCCCACTCGATCATCACCTCTCATTTTCTGCAGTCGCGTCTCATCACTGCATTTTTTCTTCTCCCTCAGAATTCCTCCATCAACCACTTCCTCCTTACCTTCCTCTTGCACTTAGTATCTTTTTTTATAATTAGCTCTAAATGCTAACACACGCTGGACCTGTGAGGCTGTTTTTTTTATAATCCCTCTGCATTCTCTCAGCTGAACTCTTCCTGTAAATATGGTCTTAATAGAGCTTCATGCTGAGTGGTGACTAATTCCTGTCAAAACAGGTCACAGCCCTTTTAGCATTGCTCCTTTTCGTCACAATTAATCCCATTCAAATGCCATTATACAATGTCTTGCTCTCCTTGATGTAGGCGCAGCAAGCAATCTGTGGACGCTTCTCCCCTATCCCATTTTGTGCATGTACAGTATGTGTGCACTACAGCTGCCAGTAATAGTTATTTTCATCATTTTTCCTAATGGTTTTTATAAATTAATGAGTACAAAATTCAAAGATATTCAAATTAGTGATTCAGAAATCGAGAATAATAATATAATGATAAATTATTTATTTAGGTATTTATTTATTCATTTATTTACTTAAAAGAACATTTTATCATATTTGCGGAAATTGTAACTATAGCCTTCTTTACACAGAGATCCTGCAATAGGGCTGCGACGAAGACCCTTTATTATGCCAGTGTTGCTTTTTTACACATTACAAAACAAAAAAGGTTTAATGCTGCCCCAGTGTGTGATTTAGATAGCATGCTGGCAATCCTTAAACAAAGAGGTGTGACTGGCCTCTACTGTGACATGTAACGGTGACAACAGGCAACGTTTTCTAAAGAATTGTTTTGTTATTTTTTGCCGTCCCTGTTATATAGCGGTTGATCTTGGAGGCTAGAGCTCCCAGATCTCATTAGCCATGTTTCCATCAGCCTGTTTAGATGTGCATCTAGAAGTATTGCATCAGAAAATTATGATGGAAACGCCAAAATTTGAATTAAAATCCCCTGATTCGCACAAACCAAAATACGCTCGCTTTAGCCGGGTTTTGGTTGATTCGAAAAAATGTTGATTCGCAAAACGGGGGATGGAAACAGTTATGTTCGAATTAAGTCTGACGTAGTGCACCTCTCTCCATGATGATATCCACACTCCGGGTCGGGAAGGCGGTAATGCATTTACAAGCTGGTTGCCAACCGAATGCGAGACTTGTTTTATTTCCGGTTCTGCGGAAAACTCGCACAAGTTCGTAGTTTTCACCAAAGTCCGTACATTTAATGGAAACACACAGGATTCATATTTCTTTTAATGCGCATTTCCCAATGATTCGAATCACTTTTGGATGGAAACATAGCTAATGTCTCCCCAGTTTATAGATACTTTCAGTTGCTGTTCTTCCTCTTTGGGTTAGCTGCTAACAGCTACTAGCCTTTTAAATCTCTCCGCGGTGGGTCACATACGAAACATATTGTCAAAATGTCACACCAGTCCTATCCTGTCAGCTTTCCCTTTCATACAGATGTTGATTTGGCGCTGTTATTACCTCCGCTGCTGACTTAAAAGCGAGACAATTCAGTCCTCCCATTCGGCGCTCGTACTTTTTATAAAGAATGGTGAGGTGGAATAACAGTGTGACTTTCCCGTCTTCAGCAGGCAGTGTGAAAGGGACTTCTATCATGACAGTAGTAGATTGCTGACTGATTTTCAAAATGGCTGCCGGGTCACAACTTTCTCATTTTACAGCTAAACAGTACACTTAAATATGTTACTGAAAACATGTGAGGTGAGAAGTAGGCAACGTTGTCACAGAATCTTGATTTATATTTGCTCAGTGATGCCTAGTTTTGACATGACATGACATGACATGATTGACAGCTGTGTTAGAGAATCCTCGGCTCTGATTCGTTGTTTTTGTTCAGCCACGGTGAATTTTTGCAACCGCCATTAGATGCAGTATGAGGAAGCAGAGGCACATAATTTTCTCACAGATCATTCATCTCATACTGTCAGGATGTAGTGACAGTTTAATTAAATACGACAAAAACGTAAAAAAAAAATACCAGCTGCGGCTTTAATGTTTGTTGATTGATTGATTGATTATGTTTCAACACAAGTTGCACATTCCTAGCTTAACCACTATGATTAATACACTGTCTGTCTTTAACTAAAAGGCGGCTCGGCATTACAGTTCACAAGACTGTATGTTACTATATGTGTGTCTGCATGTCAATATTTGTGTGTGGGTGCATACATATGTTTGTGTATGTGAAAACAATATCCCCCCCCCCTGCTCATAGTGTCTCCCCGTATAATGAGCTCTATACCAACGGTGGGCTTTGAACTTTTCCACATGAGTGTGTTTCTCAGGAAGTCTGTTTAAAGTCTTTGTAATTACAGCTCGGGGCTACCACCTCACTGAGAGGCAAAGCAGCAGTTTCTGATACATACCGTGCTCATCATCGGGAAATTAATACAGCAAATAAAACTGAACAGGCAGCCACACACACACACATACATACACTCACACATATACAAACACAGCCACACATGCGCAGATGACAAGTGCAATGTGGCCAAGTGGAGGAACTAGCGCTAGCAGTGTTTACTCTGTCTGTTCTGACTTAGACTGCAGGAGGAGGAGAAGGAGAGCGCCTGACTCTGTTTGAGACTGCTGAAGAGAATTTTAATTAGATGTGTTTTTTATTGCAGAGGTGAAACCAAGGGGGGGGAGAGAGCAGAGCTCAGAGCGATGCACTGTGTGACCTCAAGCTTCATTCTCTCTCTCTCTCTCTCTCTCTCTCACACACACACACACACACACACACACACACACACACACACACACACGTACACACACACTAACTGATGATATTTTATTGCCCCCACCTCTCCCTGACCACCTCACATCCTACCTTTACCACCCACCCCCTCAATCTCTTCATTCTCCCACCCACTTTTTCAGCCGGCAGTTTCTGCATTACAGACAGTGGATATTAAGAAAAGGCAGCACTGTTATGCATTTCAATTGTAGCCCACATTTAGACATCAGTCTTGTTTTAAACATCAGAGAAAAGTTGTTTGGGAACACAACAAATATCACCTTCTTGAAGAGATCTTCCCCACACCTACGCAGCTACAGTACGCTCTTCCCATTTTGATGCTTTATTTAAAATCTAGTGCTGTATTCAAGGGTTTTGTACATTTACTGGTGTTGGATAACATTCTTATCCGACTAAGCCACAATGATGTGCAACATTCAAAAGGGGATTTTCTTTTTTGTTTCATATATCAAAGTTGTATCACTGAGTGTTATAACATGACTTTTTGGCAGGCACTTAACCACGTTTCTGATTGCTCTACTAAACACTCTTTTAAGCTTGACAATTCCCTCTGTTTCATCTTTTTTCACCCAGATCGGGACTTCAGCATCCAGGTGAGCACGGAGCGACGGTCCTTCACGGCCGGTGAGCCGCTGGAGCTTCGCTGCACCATTGAGGCCCAGAACGTCCCAGAGCGCTTCTTCTCGGTGTCGTGGGTCTTCAGCAGCTCACCGGTGGCCGTGGTGGGCCCCAGTGCCGTGCCTGTCCTGGGCCCCGATTATGTTGCCCGAGAGGCGGCTGGCCACATGACGGTGCGTAAAGAGAGCGCCAACGTGCACTTGCTCAAGCTGCAGCACCTACGCCCCGAAGATGCTGGGAAATACATCTGCCGCGTGACAGAGCGAGAGAAGACGCCCACGGGAGACTTTATCGATCGCAGCAAGAGGTCCCGCAATGTCCAGATCACAGTCCAGCCGCTCAGTGAGTAATAATCTGTTCATGAGGCCACTGGCTTAGTTGTTTTGTCCTTAGTTGTCAATTACACTAAGAACGATGAACTCTCCATAATACCAGTTTTATCTTCATGTAGGCAGCATGGAATGTCATGCTGTGCTCCTCTTCAGCCTCTCGTTCTATCTTTCTCTCTCTGGCTCCCCATCTCTCTTTCTCCAAGGTGGCCTATAACAGATAGCTGCACAGCCTCTATTGTTAACTGAGAGCAGGAGGGGAGAGGATGATGCTACTCTTATTCCTGATGTATTTTCTGTTTGAGTGGATTGCTAAAGGATAGTAATGCAGCATTATGGTCTTTCCTATTCCCTTGGCTTTGCTATGAGGGGAGGGGGGGGGGTAACACTATAGCAGGATAATGGAGAGCAGAAGAGTCCGGACTCAAGGAGGCTGAGCTAACAGGCATGAAATTAAAGCGTGGAGAAAGAAAAGAAGCAGAGAAAGGCGCCCAGCTCTCCAGGGCTCTCTAAGTGGTTCCCCAGGCCAAATTAATGTGTTCTGCTGGGGCAGACTTCTTCAGCTGGGTTAAGCAGAGCTGGCCAGTCGGGTCACATCGAGCTTGCGTCTGACTGATGCAAAGTTACAGTCAAACCTTGAAAACCGTGCTCACAATCCTGTGACATTTTTCTTCATCCCAGTGGCAGCAGGGAAAACGCCCCCTGCACCGGTCTGGGTCATTTTGCTTTTTTCCCCTCTTCTCTCTGTACCTCCATGTCTCTTAGGACTGCAACAGTGTGTGGCGCCAGCTGCTACCAGCATAATAAAACATAATAACCACAGAGTAGTATCTCCTCTCAAGCAGCCAGCACTACCTTATCCTGACCGCTCGGCACCCCCTGCTAAATAGGCCCAAAACAATGGCCCTGAGCCTGCAGCAGTCTCCAGGGAGTCTCTCTGTATGGGAGGTTTTGTTTTTCTAACAAAAGACCTTAATGCCCCATAAAGGATGTTTATAGGGTTTACACAGGATAATGGCCATGGTTATTGGAGGAGAACTTCCATGAAATACAGCAGAAGTGGTCAGGCAGGCATGTATTTGATGCACAAACTGTCCTCTCATGCCTAGTTTTGATCTTGCACACACACACAATTTCAAGATGTGCTTCATCACTCTAATTGGGGGAATTGGGCAAGAGCTGGTAATAGGGTGCGACAGGGGTTAAAGTTGATGAGTCCGAGGCAGGCAGAGGTGACAGGAAAGGAAAAACGGAGGTAAACACTTCTGGCAAATCAGTGCTGATGGATGAGTTTACCTTTGCAATGAGGAAGGGATAGAGAGCTTACATGCCACACTGAATCTCTGTCATACAGATAGAGAGGACAAGCGCAAGGGTAGGGAGAAAAGGGAGAGGATATATTATATTCTTAGAGAGTGGAAATGCATTCTGCAGTTCAAAAAACAAAGGCGAAGGAGCTGATGGGGGGAATGTGGAAATTAAAAAGAATAAAGTTCAAAGAGAAGGAAAAAGGAAAGTTGAAGAAAAGCCAAACTGTTTAGAAACCAGACAGCGTTATAGGAAGGAGGATATATGTATCTGCTTGTATAATTGTCTAACAATCCTCTCTTCATGTCTCAGTGTAAAAAAGTGATACAATACAATGTTCTTAGCTGTTGGAAAAAAAAAAGGAAAAGGATGAAGGCATTTTCCCTTTGTTCATTTGAGCGTGATAGAAGTAAGAAGCCAGTTTATTCCATATTCACAGAGAGCTCATGCTTATTAGGAGGGCCGGCGAGCTGAGAGGGAAGCAGCAGAGCTTGGCCTGAGGGAAGAATCAAAAAAAAAAAAAAGAAGTGAGAAACCTTAAGCCATATCCCCAAAAGACAGCAGCATTGGCCCCACAGGGCCTAAGAAAGCTTTTGGGTCAACTAGAGCTCCATGATGTTTGATGGACGATGAAGTGATGAGAGTCGAGATAAAGCAGAAAAACAGAGGAGAAGAGCCAGTAAAGACTTTTATCTTCCTCCTCTTCTGAAGTGCAGCTGAGCCCTGTGATCTGAGCCTTCTTTCCTGTGCCCGTGTGGACTCGGTCAACAAGCCACACAGGGTTCAGACGGAGAATCTAAACCCACACACACAAAATCACCATGGCCTTCTCCCTGGCTGTCACTCTGATGTGCCCGAGGCCAGCTACAAAACCACACTATGGTCCTCCCACATGTGCACCGGCATCCAAACACACAGCACTGGCACAGGACTGTGAGATACTCTACTCCTGGGAACAGGCTCAGTGATTTGTTTTATTGCCCCTGGCCTCCTGTACTCTCTGAATGTTTTAACACAGAGAGTGTGATTGTTGTTGTCTCTTGGATTCAGCGTGAGGAGGAGTTGAGATTTTGAGGAACTTTTTCCTAACTCCTTTCATGTATCCCATCTCTACTCATCCTCACCGTCATGTCTCTCTCTGTCTCTTCTCTTTCCTCTCAGAGAGCAACATCACAGTGTCATTGTCCAGCAACTCTTCGGAGGTCCTAGAGGGCGATGTGATCCAGCTGACCTGCTCGGTCCACTCCACTACAGGTCCCCTGTCTGTTGTCTGGCAGTGGACAGACAAGCAGGCGACTGGACCGGCGCAGGAGGTGGCCTCCGTGGATCGCGACGGCACCGTGTGGCACAGCCCCTCCTACAGAGAGCGCTCCAGTTATGGGGAGATTCGTGTGGAGAAAGTCCGTGCCGACGCATTCTCTCTGTCCCTGTATAATGCCTTACCTGAGGACGAGGGTCAGTACCGCTGCACGGCCACTGAGTGGCTTCAAAGTGGTACTGAGCCAGAGCTTACCTGGGAGAAGATAGGAGAGAGGGCAGCAACCAAGACTGTCACTGTGAAGACTGTTGGTAAGTTACTGCAGCCTAATATAACCTCAATATGGTCTATATTCTGAGCCCGCCAAGTCAGTTAGCAGAGGTATGGCTTGAGTCACATGACTTGGACTCGAGCTAGACTCAAGTCACAAATTTGATGACTTCAGACTTGACTTGACAAAATTAAAAAAATCCCTCCAACTTGGCATGGACTTCAACACCAGTGACTTTACTGGGACTTGAGCCTTTTGACTTGAAAATAGTGGAACTTGACCTTGGACTTTTCTGTTACAGTTACAAGTAAGTCTCAAGTCTTTGCACTCCAGATGGGTCTGGAGTGCAAAGACTTGAGACTTACTTGTAACTTGCAAAATAATGAATTGGTCCGACTTCTGTCAGTTTGGCACATTGTGGGGAGGGGGTTGGTGTGAGAGCACTGTCCCACCCTGCAGGCCAGAGTGAGACACAGTGGAAATATTATTTTATCTTTTCAAAAGATTTCCAATCAAAAATTATTTTACAGTTTCTGCTCAAGTGCTTGCAGTAGTATATTTGTTGTGGATAAAGTGTGAAAAATCTGGTAAATTTGAAGGGGAAAATACAGTTTATATGGTTTACTAATTAAGTTATGACTGCATGCCGTCTCCTCAGCTAAAAGTTTAGATGAGCTACTAAGCGTAACTCTTCTGATGATAACATAAAATAGCATATTTATTCACTTTAAATAGTCCATAACTGACTTAAAAAAAATATGCCGCATATGTTATCTGTACATCCCTCAGGAACACCGGTTCACACGCAGTGTAAGTAAGCTGTAATCAGCCTGTGCATAAGCCTGTATGTTTAAGATGAGCAGCAGCTGAGCTTGTTACAGGTTTAAATATCCTTGATCAAATGGACCGTACTGTTTATCCTGCTGTAATATTATTTCCACGAAGGTTTGGATTTAGCTACAGAAAATGTACTTTATCTGTCAGCTAATTATCTTACACATCATGATGTGCACGCAAGTGAAATTTCAGGTATCCAGGACGGCCCCCCTATTGAAAATACACTCCGGGGCAGATGTAAATTCACGTACATGACAGTGTGTCAGCGCACATGCACACCAAATCAAAGAGAGGCATATGGTTTGTGATTTGCTAAAGACTGATGAACGGCGCGGGCAGAACATGCAGTCCACACAGTAGAACATACCATGGTTTATTCATGCAGCGCTCAAGGGAAAGAGCTATTATGGCACACACACACACACACACACTCTCTCACACCACCTGCCACACGTCAAGAGCATTGCTTCCGTGACACCCATCATAGATACACACATACACGCTCACACACGCACACACACCCATATGGATTAGCCAGAATTATTAGAATGGAAATGCAGCGGCAATGTGTTTCACAGTCTGTGGGTCTCCTCTGTCAGTGCTGAGTTAAGCTGAACATCCTCGGTACAGGCTGAGGAAGCCACTGGAGCGGAGCAGTGAGGAGCTGGCAGACCAGGAGCACTGGGCTCAACGCACACACACACACACACACACACACACACACACACAACCAACGGATTAGCTCCCTGCGGCAGCACACAGTGGTGCTGCAGAGAAGAGATGTCAGTTTTTAAGTGGCCATTTGTTAAGTTCGGGCAACAACAGAAACATTAGTTTGAGGAACAAGGGACGCATTATGCAAATCAGGGAATAGAAGTCCGAAGCCGCTCGTCTCTCTTCAGTTACACTCCGCAACATCTCCTCTCGCTCTCCTCCATGCTTGTTGATCAAAGGATTTTTCTAAATGTGCGCTGTTGTGTGACGGTCAATGTGTGTGTTTTACTTCGTCTCAGATTTTGGCCCTCGTTTTTCTCTCTTTAGCTTCCAACTTCTGTTTTATTGGATCTAAAGCTGCCGTGATGATGGAGAACTTATTTTTCCTGTGTTTCACATTTCTTGCCTCCTACTAGTCTTGCCTTACTTAAGATACTGAAGTGTGTGCTCCACTTTTCTTGTGAGCTCAGGTTGGACTTTCCACTGACCTGTCCTCCAAGTGTACTGCTCTACAAGCTGAAGCTTAAGATATTATATATGGTCACTGTGCCTTAATTTAGATCACTGCCTCCTCCCTTATGGACTCCCCTGTGCTAGCTGACAAGACCTAGAGGGGATGGGAGAGGGATATCCTCTGGGAGCATTGTGTTTTTGTTGCCACGGTGAACACAAAGATGCTTGGCAGAGAGTCTTGTTTCCATCTGATTGGCTTAAGGGGCCCTCAGGGTGTCTGGGGTAGCAAGTGTGTGTGCAAGTGAGAAGCCTATATACAGGCGCGCACACAAGCCAATGTATAGTAGTCTCCACCTCAACCACAAGCACTTTGTACAGTGAAGGAAACAAGCGCATTCGTGTTTATTCACACAAACAAAAAAACGGAGTTGTATGGGACAAATGGATCGGCGTGAAATCCTCTTTCCTGTCACAGAGGCAGGCAGACAGTGAGGGGAATGGATGGATGGATGGTAGAGGGGCGCAGGGAGATGAGAGATAGAGTGCGAAGGGAGAGTTATTGTCTATTAGAGAATTATGTCCCGAGGCAGCTGTCCCAGCAGTAGCCAAGTCCGGACAGAAAGCCATTGATTACACACCCTGAAGGACACTGGGGGTGATGGCTGTCAGAGGAAGAGAGAGGGTAAGGGACAGGGAGAGAAAGTGACGTGGCTGTTGACAAGAATATAATGGAACGATCTGCGAAATCTAAAGGAAATAAATTATCTAGTCTGACAAAGATCCTGAATCCTTGAATGACCCATATATAACTACAAAGGGAGCAGGCTGTTGTCCACGGAGATAACCGTGTTGCACAACCATGTCTCAGAATGGAAAACCAAACAGTAGCTCTAGATGGGGTCATTCGTCTTTTCACTCCTACGCGTCAGCTACCATATTCATCAGCCCCTCTGCAACGTGAAACTGCTTTATTCATTGCTTTTACCGGTTTCAGGGAGTTTTTACTAATAGTCCTTTTTATATAAATCAAACTCAAGTCCTCTTGAAGTGCACCAACAAGTGGACCAACAGAAAAGGGACTCGGTTCTTTTTGTGTTCACACTGTCAGTTCATTTGAAAGAAGACTCTGTCTGGTCCACTTCAGCTTCGATGGGGCCTCAGTCCTCTTCCTGTTCATACTATATGTTTATTTATTGTCTATCTACCAGTACATCTGTGTTTTATAAGTTGGAAAATGGCCGCCAACCACACTGCAGACTTGAAGCGAACCGAAGTGGTCTGAGTTTGGTTCACTTCAGAGGAGTCTGAAGTGTTCACATACACGCAGACAATGCTGAGTCACCGTTCTGAGTCCGTTAAGAGGGCTGAAAAGGACCAAGTGTGAAAACACCCTTAATCAGAGGGACTCCTGCAGATAATTCAGCTCCCGGTAAAAAGCTCCTGAACACCTGATCTTGATTTTTCAGAGAAAAATGGTGAGCACAAACGAGCAGGTGTTGGGCTAGCGGCCCCTCTCTGACAAGCCAGACTGCACTGGAGAAACACTGATTTGTAACATGAAACTGCTTTATTCAGTGTTTTTACTGGTTTAATCATTGGAGCATTTGTTTTGGGGAGAAAAAGACCTCTGCGGATAATCTGGCTCCTCGTAAAAACTGTCTGAACAATAAACACTGAGGGAATTCCAACCATGGCAAGTGTCGGCTGCAGTCTTCACCTCTATATGCCACTAAATCCCCCTAAATCTTTCACACTGTTTCTTTAATCAACATCTTTCTATCCTACCTCCCTGTTCTTTTTTTCTTCTGTGTATCGCCATCTTTCTCATATTCAACCTCAAGCATTCTCTGCAATGCACTGAAATGCCCTGAAATAAGTACAGCAGGGCCAGGTTGTTAAAGGGCCACGGTATCTTTATCTCTCTTTCTCTCTCTCTCTCTCTCTCTCTCTCTCGACTCCCTGGCACTCCAGTGTGGATGTATCTTGGCAATAACATATAGAGTTGGGTGAACGTTTTTAGTTTAATGAGGATAGTTTAGACTTGGCAAGGACTTGGGCGTAGATCGAACATCGGCGCTTAGAGGAAATCTCTCCCCTGGGCTTTCTTTGTTGCATCACCCATTAATTTTGAGGCACGCTCACACAGTCAAGCACTCAAACTCATAGTTAGACACAAGCGCAGAGTGGTACATACATATACATGCATAAGCTAAATGGCAGCCTTTAGCCGCTTAATGATAGAAGAAAATGCTTGTGGAGATTTAGAACTGCTTTACCGGTAAGGCGATGCACTTTAAGGAAATAATGTCTGTATTTGTTCCAGCAGGGGGCTTTGTTCCTCTTGGTAGCCATGCTTACAAGGAAGGTTCCTTCCTCAAAACGATTATAAACCCCCACATCATTCGCTAAGCTTTCAGAGAACAGGCTCAATCACACACCTTGGCTGCATTGTGCTATTATTACATGCAATCAGCTGTGCTCTGTTTTTAGAGGGTTTATCATTAGTTGCATTAAAAGGACATTTTTTACACTTTCTAACATTCTTTCCACTTTCTCCACCATCTAGAATCCTCCTTCATGGTGTCTGCTTCGTCACGGACGCCATCCGTTACATTCGGCGACTCCTTTGACCTCTTGTGCCTGGTGAAGCCTCGTCACAACCCTCGTGTCCCCACCTCCGTCACCTGGCGCTTCATGCCAGCTGGCACAGAAGCTGGCGACGAGGATCAGGGAGAGTTCAAAGACCTTGTGACTTTCACCCGCGAGGGCACGCTGCAGTGGGGGGAGCAGCTGCTTGGGCTGGGCACCCGCACCACAGTGGACCGCTCCCACTCCAACACCAACTTCCGGTTGTCGGTGACCCGCGCAGGCCGTCGCGAGGCGGGCAAGTACCAGTGCACCGCCGTGCTGTGGAGGAGGAACTACGACTACAGCTGGAGCAGAGTGGCCAACCGCACTTCCAACCTGCTCGGCATCAGTGTCCTACAGCCAGGTAAAGCTGCATGGCTTCTTGCCAGGCAGACACACACCTAATTGGAACAGACACAGACCAGCACACAAACAGGGATAAACACAGATTCAGACACACACTCGCACACACATACACATTGAGTGAATTCAGCAGAGCTTAGAGGATGTCTGCCTGCTCTAATTGCTCTTAGTCTCTGGTTTAGCCACTAATTGGAGTGTGTGTGGATGTGTGTGTGTGTGAGTGCAGGGCAGGGTGGAGTCTCCTAATGGATCGCAGTGAATGGATTGCTAAATATCCCACAGGAAGGGGTAGAAAAGAGAAAAAAGGCACGAAAGAGGTAGAAAAGAGAGGGACGCCAACGACGGAGACGGAGAGAGTGAGAAAAAATGATGAAGAGAGTGAGCGATCTGTCCTTGAACCCCTTTTCTCAGCGGAGGCATTAAACTGTCTACACCGCCCTCATTGGCCCTCTGTGCTCCACGCATGCACAGAGAAAAACCCATTCAGACACAGCCCAATTAGCGGCTGAACACAAACAACAAACACACACAGACACACTAACACACACTGGCCCAATTTAGCCCAGTCTGGTGTGCCTCAACAGTATGATACTTCATTTATTTAGGTGAATGTGCCTGAGGCATACTGAGAAAAAAAATGCTATTGCAGTCTGGCTTTCAAAGCAGTCCAGCAAAGCATTATGGTACCTGAAGTACCAATGGGGTCCACATTTGTTGGATTTTGCAAGAGGTATGTGAGCAAGGTGCACAGGTAGGATGAGGAGAAGGTTTTCAACTTCTGAAATCCCAAATGTTTGTGCAGCGTTTTATTTGTGACCATGAGCAATGCGTCGATACCTATGTGCGAGCTTGTGTCTTTGCCTCCCATGCTCAGATGTGGATAAGTAAGATGCTGTATTGAGTTCACAGGGAGACCGTGGCGATCAATATCACTTTCAAAGTGAGGCAGAGGAATGTAGTCACATGTGCAGTATAGCCAGATAGCCTCTCATTCCTTGCTGCTATTGATTCAGATTTGCACATGAATGCAAACCAATGTAAACACGCACACACCCCCAGTTCAGAGACACCTTCTTAACTGTGCTCTGACCTTAACCAGTCAGGCAGAACACCCAGCATCCCCGGGCCCTTCAGGACTTATTTGGAAACCGACTTATCATCCTGAATGCTCATTTACCTTCCCCCCCATGTGCAGTTTACATTGTTTATCCTTAACCTGAAAAAAGGGACACACACACACACATTTTGCAAGGAAATAAATACTGAGTCCTCCTCCCGCTTCTTTTTCTAGCAGCATCTCCATGACAAAGTGATCAGTTACCTTGGTAATGCCATCAGTAACCGTGACGATGTGATCAGTTGCCGACTGAAAGCCAATCAGTAACCATAACCGTGCTATCATTCTGTGTGTAAGGGCACTATCTCACAGGGGAGGGCGCATGAGTAATTCCTTTATCTCATTGGTTGCCGAGACCCGGCTCAATCCCGGTCATGCTGCGTTCGTCTCCTCTACCTCCTGTGTGTGTTTTTTTTAGTTGTGCAGTCAGACCTTCATTTAGACTGATGATTCATTTGTCAGCATGTAGGACGTCTCTCTCTCTCTCTCTCTCTCTCTCTCTCTCTCTCTCTCTCTCTCTCTGCCTCATGCCTCTCCTCCCCAGCTGCTTTCCTCCTCTCTGTTTTCCTAAATTTTAACCACTCCTGGCTAAATGAGTGGCAGTGGCATGTTCGGCTCCTCTCTTAAAGAAGTGGGATGAAGGGGACTGTGTGTAGTGAGGTGTGAGCAAACACAGTGTCTGACCAGATTCATAATTGAGAGACTTTTAAGTCATGCTTCCAGAGGTACCTGCTCAATATGTATGAGCAGCCTCACCAGCATTATGTGCGCACATACTTGTGTGCATGTACAAGTTTTTGCATGAATGCTCCTGCATCCGTGTTTCTTCTGGTGTTCCTCTGAGAGCTTCCATATGCTTACCATGCACATATGCAGAAGCTTACCTAACTTCTGACACCCAGCAACACAACAGTGGAAGTGTTTCTCTCAACTTTCCGACGGCCCTTTACACCACCATCTTATATTCAGAAAACAGACGCGTGCCTCACATAAGAAGGCTTGCAAATGCGGAGTGACGCTCCTCATTAAATTATTGGAGAACTTCAAAAGCGGAGAGTGAAAAGTAGCATCAGAAATAGCACCCTTGATCCAACATCCATGCATCTTAGATCAGCAGAAGCGAAAAGTTGGATGTAGATAAAAGCAGGACCAAACCCACACAGAGGCAGTCGGTCGGTCGGCGTGACGTCAAACTAGCGAGGTGCCTGCAGCCCGGGCAATGCCTACTTCCTATTTCAGACCGCATTAGTAGCACGCTGCCTGTGTCCAAGTCCCATGGGTCATATTAGGGGAGTTCACCACCATATCTCCACACAGACACACACACACACATGCACATACAATATTTTTATGATCATTGTAAGGGCAACCCTGTGCTTGAATTATCCACCACAGACTTCATGCAGAGAGCGAGTGCACACACAGGAGCACAAATACCGCCATGTACACACAAATATGCAGTACATACACACAGGGGGGGTTTACCTCCCAGAGCAAAAGTGTAATTATCTTATGGTAGAACACGAATCAATATTAGCCTTCGCAGCGGAGGACCTCCACAAACACACACAGCAAAAACATAAACACGCCGTATACAGTTTGCACATACAGTGGCAGTGATATTAGATTTCACCTGATTGAGTTTTCTCTTTGTCTCTGTCTGAAACGCAATAATGGCAAACACATGTTCAGCATGGCAGATCACCAGGGGAAGCCTCAGTCTCTACAACACAATCTAATATCATCTACTCATAACTCAAGCTACACACGCGCAAAACCACACTTTTCATTTCTTCAAGATACACACACACATAAGCACACACGCACGCACACACTGAAAACACGCAAAACTAATTATGCTGAATCTTCCCTAATGGAACCGGAGTTTAGATTAATGATGGTTTTGGGAGTTCAAGACATTTTTCTCATCATTTGAGTGTGTGCATGTGCACATTTGTGCGCGTGTGTCTGGCATGAGGACTGGGATATTAAGACCGTCTGGTTATTGGCTGAGCTAGAATGATGATGGTGATGATGGAGGGGAGGGGGGGTGTCCCACTTAGAGTTTCTCCTCATCTCTCCTCGCACACCTACGCTTGCCTGGCTACCTTTCACTCACATGATCAAACATCACGACGCAGGGATGGATGCCTTTTTTGCTTATTCTTATCCTCCTCTCTTGTTTTGCTCTCCTGTGGTTGCGCCTTTGAGTTAGAGGATATATGCCTCCTACTTTCTCCCACTTTATCTTGTCCTGCCTCATGTGCTCTGTCTCTCTCTCTCTCTCTGATAGTTCTTGAGGGTATCTTCCCATTTAATATGGGCTGGCACTAGCAGATGCCGCATGTGCTCTCTTTTCATGCCAGTGAAGTACTTGCCACCCAGCCATTATTGATAGCGTTGGCGTCACTGCGGTGATTGGAGATTCCTGCTTATCAGGGCAAGGATAGGAGTTGTCTGTCTTCATTAAGGCCCGTCCTATCACCCTCATGTCCTCCTTTCTCGCTCCCGCTCCGTCTCTGTCTTTCTACATTTTGTTCTCACTCTCCCCATAAGTCTCTTTTAATGTCTTCTTTCCCCTTCACTCTCACTTAGCTGCATGTTTCCCTCCACGCACGCCCCCAGCTTCTCTCTCACTCTTGTGATTTTTCAATATTTTATAATTCCCTGCCTCCCTCCTCCTCCACCTCCTCCTCCTCCTCCTCATAATTCTCTCCATTATGTTTACATTTTTCTTCAAATAGCTTCTTCACCATTGTCAGTATTTCATAAATAATAAGGATATTGCAGCTGCGCTTGTTTGCACACAATAGCGGCTTTATCGTAGTGTTGTATTGTTCGTGTCAGGGTTGTAAATCTTTTTCTGTGCCCTGTTTTCAGCTGCAGAGGATATAGTTTGGGTTTGCCCTCAAGCTCACCTGAGGCAGCACTCTGTGCACGGGCTGCCTGTATGTCTACAACGAACAACTTGACTCTGTTATGTACAGTTTGCACGTGCATATACAAATAATCATTTGTGTTTTTGTCCGTCGCGCGCACACACAAACACACTAGCGCGCAGGGTCGTAATGGGTGATAAATGAAGAGCCTTTGAGGGATGCACTGGAACAGAAAATAATTTCATAAAAGATTTTTGATTAATAATGCCCGTTTCAGACATTCAAGGTCAGGCTCCTTCCTTGTGTCTTCTTCCTCACAAGGACAAACCCTAACACACTCTCTTTGAGATGCAAGAACACAGGCATATATTTCTGTCAAATCCAATCCAATCTAGGCCTCATTTCCTTGTTCAGCCCAATCTGAAGACACAATGAGATTCTCTGTGTTGTGTCTCTCCATCTCTTTTAAGCACCTTTGTGTGTGTGGGTGCGTGCATGTGTGTGCACACGCACGCTTGTGTGTCCTGCTGCCGCGGTAATTGAAGTCGTAACTCAGAGCTAGCTACAGTGCTGCTGCTCCCCATGTAAATCAGTGGCTAATAGTAGGAGCAGAGCCGGAGAGGATGCCTCCTGAATACATACACACACACACACACACACACACACACACACACACACACACACACACACACACACACACCAGCCTCTAGCCTGCACTAACTGAATGACCACTGTTCTCTGTGGTTTAATGAGCATAATGTGTTTTATTCTTATTGGCAGACCCCCTTTCAAACACACACACACACACACACACACAGGCACGCACACAGGCGCACGGCTCGATCTGATATGTCTTTATGCACTCCCCTCCGTGCCAGCTTCTTTTGGGCCATTAATCTCCCAGAGTTCCCCTGCCCTGACCTCCTGTCTCACCCCTCTCTTGTGCATCCGTTTTCCCATTGGGCCAGCCTGCGTCCAGCAATCACTCTCTTAGACAGGCAGGCA